AGTTATGCAAACAAATGCATTTGCATGGCAGCCCTGGTCCCTAAAAATGACTTATCATACACAGGTTCCACCACCTCGGCAGCCCCACCTGAAATCCTGCAGGCTTGACAGCCAAAAGACTTCCTGGCCAGAGGCTCTGGGCAGTAACTTACCTTCCAGGCAACTATGACTCCCTCTAGAGGAGACAAGTAAATTCCTAGGTAATCCTGGGTTCCAGATGGTGGTGTGTTAAAAATGGAAAGGGTGGATGCCAAGTATATTGACATTTTTGTGTGAAGTGCCAGGGAGGCTCCCAAGGGCTCCACTTTCAAACTGAGTGGAGTAAGAACCATGAAGACAAAGAGATGAGAAAGGCTTTTTAGAGGCAGAGGGAAGAGGGACAAGGAAGCCCCTAACAATCCTGCTCTTCCAGGAGGGCTCCCAATTTCATGTAATGTCATCATTTTCCATGATGATTCATAAAGTGCCTGACTACAAAAGATCTAAGTTTAAGGTGTACCACTGTAACACTTTTTAAAAAATTAATGAATTGGGTGAAATGTGGCAAAATCCCCATCAGACCACATCCCCAAATTTTGGTTTTCAGGGAGCAAACATCATTTATGAAGGGAATCCAAGTTGGAGGGGCTGGAAAGGGAAAATGGACAGAAAACACCCCAAGGGCACCCCACAGAGGGACATAAATCAGATTTCTGTGAGCAGAACCCATGGGGGTCAAAGGTCAAGCTAACAAGATGAGCAGACAGCAGTTCAGACCAAAAGACAGGAGGGGCGAACCTGTTGGAGAAGGAAGGATCTAGCTCTTGCAGAGAGAAGCAAGAGTAGAAATGCAATGGGGAAATCTCCATCATGCTGTTCCATTTTCTACCATCAAAACTGTCAGTCAGGTGCCAGCTCCAAGGGCTGCTAGGAAGCTCTCCTGGGTCTCTAACAGAACAGCTCCATCTTATGTACCCCAAACACCTCTGCTCTTGTTTTGGAGAGCATCAGTTCTCCTTCTGTTACAACAACGCCCGCCACTCCTCTACACTGAGCTCCACAAAGGCTAGACCCACTTCTGGAGTCATCTGTGTGTCTGCAAAGTCCTGAGCACTGGGCGTGACACAGAGGAGGTGCTCAACATGAGGTGAATGTTGAAAATGGCATTTTTACTCTTGGATAGTGGCTGAAGGTCTTCTTTTTAAAGAGCAGCCTAGGCTGAAAAGGCCAAGGCACTGACCTGTCTGAATGGTGGCCCGGAGCTCGGGGGCAGTCCTATCTTTCCACATATGAGTTGCGCTTCCCCCACCTTTCAAAGTCTTGGCACAGCCTCATTTAATCCCCATGAAATCCTCCCCAACAAGGCATGGATGTGAGGTCTTCGTCCAGAGGACGAGGATCCAGGGTGTGGTTTGCTTTTTTGTTTTGGTTTTTTCACCTCACTCATGGCCATCTCAAAACCTCTGGGCAGCTGCCCTATGCCACCGGGGCTTGGATGACACATTGTTCACAGTCTGGAACAGCCCCTAATGTGTCCAGGCCTGTGGGTACAGGGAAAGGAAAGACAAAGTCACTTGCTTCTGCACACAGGCATTTTGTATCTCCCCAACTAGGTTCTCAAGGGCAGGAACTGGGCCCTACACTCCATTTGTTTCTCCCAAAGCACAGGGCATACACCAAGTGCCTGGATCATCTAGCGGTCGAGTATGCTGGGGAGCCACACTGTTCCAACTGCGTGCAAGGAGGCGACAGGGAGATGAAGTCAGCAAAAGGACCCAGGGGTGGCTGGAGCCCCTAAATGTAGGCGTCCGGAGACAGAGGCCGAAAGGAGCTGCACTCTCAGGGCTGAGGATGCAGTGGCTGCCCCTCAAAGCCTCCCCTATCCCCACTCTGCCCCACCTGGGCAGTGCCCAGAGGGTTTGTTTATATTCACCAGTAAGTGGGCCAGCCACTTTCCCCAGCCTCACCACCCTCACCCTCCTCCCTTGAATAACTGAATTTCCTTCACACCCTGAGCAGGCCCGACCTACCCGACCTACCTGCTACCCACTGTACCCACTCGTCACTCACAGCCTCCTGCATTTCCTGTCTCCAACCCAGTCAAAGGAAACCCCCAAATTTACTGTTATTGTTTACCAACCCAACTACCTGCTCACCCCAAGGCACAGAGACCCTCCCTGAAGCTCAGGGCAGGAACATGGACCAGGCCTAGGCCGCCGACTCGACTCCAAGCCTGGGGCTCCCTGTGCCCCCACTGCTGAGCAGCCACTGAGGGGTGGGACCCTCCTGGTGATAAAGGCCACCTGGCAGCTGGCATTTTAGGAGGCATTTAAATCCACCATCTAGGCTGGGCACAGTGGCTCATGCCTGTAAGCCCAGCACTTTGGGAGGCCGAGGCAGGTAGATCAGCTGAGGTCAGGAGTTCGAGACCAGCCTGGCCAACATGGTGAAACCCCATCTCTACTAAAAATACACAAATTAGCTGGGCATGGTGGCACGCACCTGTAATCCCAGCTACTCAGGAGGCTGAGGCAGGGGAATTGCTTGAACCTGGGAGGCGGAGGTTGCAGTGAGCCAAGATCACACAACTGCACTCCAGCATGGGTGATAGAGTAAGACTCTATCTCAAATAAATCAATCAGTCCACCATCTCACTGAATTCCTTAAAACAGCCACGGGCCTAGGACTATCACCCTCCTTCCATAGCAAAGAAAACTAGACCTTCCTCAGTGAAGCAGAATCTAGCCTCATATCTCCTCTCCTCCCCGCCCCCTCTGCACTTGCTTACCAAGACGACGTCCACGTGCTTTGTTAAAAAAGCTCTCAACTTGGAAACAGGAGATCCAGGTCAGAATCCCTCACTAGCTGTGTGATGCTGAGCAAGTCCCTTTACTCCTCTGAGCTGGAGTTTCTTATAGGTAAGCTGCAGACGAGACTGACTACCTCAGAGGGTTCTGATGATGAAGAGATGGAGGGGAAGAGCCCAGCATAGGTGCTTGGCAGGGGCCCAGGAGTGTCTGTAGGCTCCTCTTTACATCTCACACCACTTAAGGGTGTTCAAGAAGCACACCTGCTCCTGAACTCATGCAAGTCAGCACCTGCCCTTAGGGACAAAAGTTTCCACTGCCATCCTACCCAGGCATTTAGCAGAGGTGTTAAGTTCTCCCTAGAAACAGGGACTCGCAGGGCCACGCCAGCATGGAAGGTCAAGGGCATGGGCATGGGGGGTGGAAAGGTGTGGCAAGACCCCACTAACCACGCCAGACCCCTCCTGGCCCTTCACCCCAGCCATTTTCCCTGAAAGCCAACCCCAGGCTGAATCCTTGCTGACCACAGAAGCATCCTCCTGAACTGGGCTGAGTCAGGGAAGGAAGCAAAACACAAGGGCCAACATTGGACACAAGCACAAGAAGGCTGTGAGACGGGCCTCTGTGGCAGAATCCTGGCCCCCAGTGATGCCCACGTCTTGGTCCCAGACTGTGGCTATGTTCCCTTACATGGCAAAGGGGACTCTGTAGATGGGATTACAGTTAAGAGCTCTGCAATGGGGAGATCATCCTGGATTATCTGGGTGGGCTCAATCTTATCACACCAGCTGGGTTAGAGATGTGACCAGAGAAGGATCAGAAAAACGCAAGGTTGTAGTTGAAGATTGAGAAAGGGGTCCATGACCCAAGGAATGCAGGAAGCCTCCAGAATTGGAAAAGGCAAGGAAACAGCCTCCAAAGAGGAATGCAGCCCTGCTGAGACCCGGACTCCAGCCAGCCTAGTAAGACCCTATCACGCTCCTGACCTACAGATCAGGAACACCATAAATTTGTGTTGTTTTAAGCCATAAAATTAATATGGTAGAAGTTTTGTTAACAGAAAACTAATACAGCTTCTAAAGATAGCAGAACTCTGACAACTTCCTCTCCTCCTCTCCCTCACTCCCTCCTACCACCCCTCCTCATTCCTCCTTCTCGGGTTATTGCTTCTAACACCTTCATATTTGCACACAAAATAAATGGATTTTTCTGAAAGTAAACCCCCATGCTGCTTTGTTTTGAGCTGTGATTTTAGAGTGATGAGTAGTGTCTCAAGGCAAGAACCAACTTCAGCAACCATTGTCATGAAGGGGAGGTCCAGGGCCTGATGTCCCCGTGAGCTGACGGTGGAGACATGGTCCCTCTGGCAGCAGAGGGGACAAGCAGGTCTCTCCTCCAGCGGGAAGCGGGATCTGATTTCCAATCCTACCACGCAGCTGCAGCACATTATCCCGCCTTCTCAGTCACTTTCCTCACACTAAAACAGCAATCAGCAGCCACCCTATACTGTCTCTCGCTGGCAGCTCTGAGGGCCACAAAAGAAAATGCGGGTGACACAGTGAAGGATATGCCGTTTTCCCGTCTGACCCGGAGGGACTGCAATGGGGCAGGTAGCCCAGTTTCCACTTTAGGCTCTGCTGCAGGTCAAGTCATCACATGGCCCCAGCTCTGTGCTTCAGTCTTCTCATCTGTGCACTGAGAATGGGCCACAGGAATCCTGAGCTCTCTTCTAGCTCCGAGGTAGAGCATTTGGTTTCTGCCTGACCCCTATCACCGCCTCCTGGAGAGTGCCGGTACTACACTAACCTGCTCCCCTGGTATCTTTTCCAGGATTTCAACAAAATTCACCAGCACCCCGTCTTCCCTGGACCCTATACCAGTCGGCTTTCACAGGCTAAAGGTGCCAGCACCTGGTGGTGGTTATGTAGGTCAAAGAATCATATGCCAAAAAGAGCTTGGCTCCTGATTCTGCATTTGGCAAAAGAAGATGGGCTTGAGCCTTGCAGCCTCCCTGTCCTGCTTTGAGGATGCCCTACACACATCCTGCCCAGGTCCTCACCAATGAGGTGCTGGCTCCTGCTCGCCCAGGAAGCCCTCTGCTCCTCTCCCAGGACCCCCAACCCACACCCCCACCACCCAACAAAACCCCTCTGCACACAGAGGCATTGGGGGCTAGCGCCTGAGCCCCAGGAAGAAAGAGAAAGAAAAACTCTCAACTATTAAATCTGTTTAGTAAAGACAATTTCGCTCATACAAAACAACAGTTTACAACAATCGAGTGCTGGACACACCATCTGAGACAAGGGAGGCGCTGCAGGCGCCCAGCACCTTCCCCGGTGCACAAAGACGACCCTGGGTGCCCCTCCACCACCTGCCCCTGAGGGAGAGGAAAGGTGAAGTATTCCTGCCACCTCTCCCTCCAAGGGAAGGGGGAGTGGGGGGCCATGGCACAGAGAGCCTACCCCAGCTGCTCCTCAACTGTGCTGGGGGAGGCCCCTCCCTTCACCGGCCCCGAAGCTGAGTTGTTTGGGGTGATGGCAAATGGCTGATGGGCAAGGGGGCAAAGTCGGGACATCTTTGGTGCAAAGACTCCCCCTGACCCACCAGGCCACACAATGGAAATCTGAGGGAAGACCTCAAAAATGGCCCTGCCTTTGCCCACAAGGGGTAGCTGGCTGATGCCCCAGAACCCAGGAGAAACACAGGAAATGCAAAAGCTTTGTCAACAGAAGCTGCCCAGGCTCACCCACATGAGCTGGGCGGCGGCCCATGGAGAAATGGCTAAAAATTTAAGGAAAATAAACAAAAATGGGTTAATAAATGGCAAGAAGGGGAAGTAGAGAGGTCATTCAGTAGATGAGTGCCTCAGAGGACCTAGGACCAGCACTAAGTGGGGGGAAGGGGGCCCTGGGGCTGGGGGTCCAGTCTTCCTGATCGCTGTGCCAGTGCCCGGTCACTCCTCTCTGCCTCCCGGAACCCAGCGAACAGAGACAGGCCACAGAGGGCCTGGTTCAGAATTTGGATGGGCTTCCCAGGCACTTTGGCAGGCTCAGTATGGGCAGGGCAGACCCAAGAAGGGAGAAGGTTCCTAAGCCCCAGCAGGGCCGTCTCCCTCTGCAGCCCTGCCTGCCCCTGGCCCCTCAAATGCACGATCCCAGGCACAGATCTGCGCACTCGTACACACGTGTGCACACACACACACACACTCACTCCTTTTTGTCTGGCACACTGGAGATGTCTGAGGGCTCCGAGAGAGGAGGTGCATGGCATCCTCCTCCAAGGTGGCCTTGAGCTCCCAGAACGCCTGAGCCAGCGGGGACGACCCCAGGCTGTTGTGGAGAAAACAGGGAGGGCAGATGGGACAACACAGGGACAATCCCTATGACAGTTTCCACAAATACCCTCTAACAAACCACAAGCCTTTGCAGTATCCAGAGAGGAAGGCGTCTGGTGGAGAGGAGGAGTGGGGCAAGGACAACAAAAGAGGTTTCATAAAAACTCTAAGTCAAATTACTGATAAAATTGCAAAATGAGCACAGGTTCAAGAGCACCTTGCTCACTTCTCTCCATAGCCTCCCAACCTCCCAACCTCTCCCACTCTGGGGTGGCCAGAGCCAAGGCAGAATTCAGCCACTGACGCAGTTCCAGGCTCCATGCAGCTGAGGAGAGGCGGCAGATGTGGACAGTTCTGTGTCTCTTCGTTTAAAAAATATATTCCTGTAGAGAGTTATTGCTTGTCCTCCCGCGGGCAGGAGGGCGCGGTGGCTCAGTGGGCCAGGGCCGCAGCCTCCAGGGCCCGAGCTTTCTTCCGCCTCTTCAGCAGCAGAGGGTTGGACGCATCCTCAATCTTTTTTATCTTGATCTGCTCGTAGTCGACGCGCATTGTGGCCAAGGCACTGGTCATCTCCTCCTGGGGGCACAGCAGCACCAGGAAAGGTACAGAGAGAGCCAGACGACGGGAAGGAGAGACAGCAGAAGAGAGATGTAAGAGCAGAAGAGACACGTGAGAGACAGAGACAACAAGAGCAGGGTGAGGGCGGCAGGGGTGGGAGCACAGAGAGAAGACGGGCTGCTTAGTGGTCCACGCTGACAACGGCAGCCTCACCCCAGCACTGAGCAGCAGAGAGCTTGGCTACAGCACTGCTGCTGTTCCCTGAGAGCCCCCCAGTGACCCCGCAGGAAAGGAGGAAGAGCCCCGGGCCAGGAGTCAGGAAACCTGGGTCCAGTCTGCCCCAACCAGTCACCAGCTGCGTGACCTTGAGCAGACTGCCTGTCCCCCTGCCCTGGGGCCTCAGTTTCTCTTCTGCAAAATGAGAACATTATACCAGATGGTCTTTAAGGTCCCGTTAGAGACCCAGTGAGTAAAGGGATTCTAAGAAACAGTCCTGAGTTTGGACAGGAACACAGAATTCTCTGCTCACAACCTAGTCAGCCAAGTGGCCTGGTTGCTGTTCTTGTAATGAAGACATCCCTGGGATGAAAGAGGCAGAATCCAGCTCTCCCCTACCAGCACCATGCCTCACACCTGGGCAATCCCCGCAAGCCGCCCACCCCACCCGGAGCCCCTCTCGCCCAGTGGTGCCCCTCACCTTGACATCCTCCCACCGCTCCTTGTCCTCCTTCAGGACCCGGCTGGTGTGCAGTGGGGTTTGAGGGACCTTCGTCGATTGCTGAGAGGACAGAAAAGGGGTCCGAGTGAAAGCCTGGGGTGGGCAGGGTCCTAAGACTCTGTCCTGTGGAATAGTCCCGTGGGACCCAAGGTTCCCCAGTCTGCCGAGCTTACCATGATCCAGGGGTGGTTCATGAACTCGGTGATGGTCATTCTCTGGGTGGGCTCTGTTTTCAGCAGGTTCCGAATGAGCATCTTCACTGTGGGATGGGGCAGGGGGCAGTGACAGCTCAGGGGCCACTCTCTCTGGCCTGCTCCTTTCCCCAGTTTTCATGGGGAAACCAGATTCAAAGAGGGGTTGCATGGAGGCAGGCTGCCTGAACAACTAGCCCCAAGGACCACGACGGCTCTACCACTTGATAGGCCCTGCACAGCCCCACAGCCTCGGCCCTGCCACTGGCCCTCCACACAGGCAAAATGAGGCAGGACGCACCCCGCAGGCATGGGCACAGGTGTTAACCCACAGTTACACCAGGCACATGAGATGGAGGCCCATACGTGTGTCTGTGTGTACACACACACACACACACACACACACAGAGGCTCTTCCCCTTGTCCTGAAAGCCTGGATTCTTACCTTCCTCTGATACTTCTGACCATTCTGGGTTGGGAAATTCATACTGGCCCATTCGGATGCGAGTCTTCATGCCCGGAGAGATGGCAAGGCCGTGGTTGGAGTAGAAGGGGGGATACCCACACAGCCTGCATCAACAGGAGGAAGGAAGTGGGAGACACAACAGCTGTCACTTAGGGGCCCTGCACCAGGAACAGGATGAGAAACAGGCTCTTCTCCTTGTAAAGGTCACAGAGAAATCAGGGCTCATTGACACAGGCACAACATACAAAGCCAAGGACGGGGCCCGGGAATCCAGCATAGCAAGTATCTAAGGTGCACACTTTCCAGTCCATGAGCTGGTTTACACCCGCCACTTAGCTATCGGAACTGAGAGAAGGGGCACGCAGGGGACCTCCCCTGTAGAAAGAGGAATCTAACGTCTGCCTCTTCCTCTTGTCCTGGAGAAGTACTGGCCGCCCTGACTCCCTGCCCCACCCAGCGCCCTCCCCAGCACACTCACAGGATGTACATGATGACACCCAGGGACCACATGTCACAGGACTTGTCATACTTCTCTGGACCCAGCACTTCTGGAGCTGCAAACCAAAGGTCAACATGAGTGGGCCAGCCCTCAGAATCCTGTGATCCACTCAGTTTCTCTGTGAAAGATGCTCCCCATCCCAACTTTCAGCCTATCATGAGGTGGCAGCAGCTGGGGTGCAGAAGGAAGAGCTGAAGCCCAGCCCAGGGACTGGAACAGAACACCCTCCTCCACGAGAAACCCTGGAACTAGGATCTTAAGATTTTAAAGATCCTGAACTGCATGAGACTTTCCGACCTATGCCATCCATTTAATTTCACAGATGCTCTGAACATGCTTTGAAAGCTTTTTCCATGCCAATCAGCTGAGGCTCCAGAACAAGACCTGGGTCCAGATTCCACTGAGAATCTGATGGAAACCATGGCTCTTCTCAGAAAGATCCCAGCAGATCCTTTCTTACAATTCCTCCACTGTAGCTTCGCTCTGACAAGCCCAACTTCTCAGCAGGTCCCAGCAGAACCAGCACCAGAAGGGGCCATAGACACAACTCTCCTAGGATTTGCGGCGCCCCCCGACAGTCAAGAGGAGGGGCTGAGAAAAGTTCTGGGAAAAGACTAGGTCCCTGGGCCCCCTGGGGACTTACCCACATAGTATGGAGTATAACAAGGAGTGGTCAAAGAGTTGTGGCTGGTGGTTTCCTTGGCAAAGCCAAAGTCAGTGAGTTTCAGGATGGCGTTGGGCCTTTTGGAGGTGTATAAGAGATTCTCAGGCTACAGAAAGAGAGACAGAAAAATAGCAACCCTGCTGGACCTGGGAGGGGCTATCAGAAACAAAAGGGTGCTGGTTCCTTCCTTCCTCTGCTCATCCAGCAACCATTTGCCTATCCCGGGCACTGCCCACCACAAGAAGTGGCAGCTCTCTGCGGGTGTCTGCCCAGCCCACGCACTGCCCACTACAAGAAGTGGCAGCTCTCTATGGGCAAGTGCCTGCCTCTGCAGGGTTTCCAGAGTGCCTGGAGATAAGAGAGTGACACACAGAACCCACAGTAAACACCACAGGGACAGAGAAACCAACAGTGTGACTGGGGGGTTCTGCCTGAGGAGAACCACAGGGCTGAGTGGGGTCAGAGAATGCTTCACTACTGGGTTTATGAGTTTGCCCATGGGCAGAGAGGGCAAGGCCCTACAGGGCAGAGAATGGCATGCTCAGGAACCAGGCAGCAAGGACGTCGGGTGGCCTGGCAACCATCCCTGGGGTGGCCAGGCCCCCCTGTTGCCCCCACAGCACTCAGGCTCAGGGCTGTGAACAGTTGGCACCTTGACATCCCGATGGGCAATGTTGATTGAGTGCAGATACTGGATGGCCTCACCGATGCTCTTCATGATTTCGGATGCCTCTGTAGAAGGGAGGGAAGAGAGAGTGGGAAAGAAAGTCACGAGGACATGTCATTAGGCTTGAAAACCCAGTGCACCAGTCCCACCTCTGTGTAGCCTGAGGCTCCCCACAGCCACCACCCACCCCAGAAACAAAGCCACCAGGAGCTGCCCTGGTCAGCTGAGACAGCCCTTGCAGTGTGCTGGAGGGGACAGCAGCCTCAACACCCTTCCCCAAGAGCAGGCACTGCAGAGGCCCCCTTCACACCCCCACTGCCCTGCCTGCCTGCACCTGTTCCCACAACAGACCCTTTCTACCTCTTTCTGTGAATGCCTGGTCTCCTCGGTCCTGGATTCGGCTAAAGAGTTCTCCACCGTCCAAACTGAAATGAAGCCACAGTGAGATCCGGAGAACACAACAGCCCACCGCCACTCTCTACTGACCCCCAAAAAATCAAGTGTTTACATTCCAGGCTTCAGGCCCATCCCTGGGCTGTCCTCAGAGGGCAACGTGCCTGAGTGAGGAGAGGGGACAGGCTGGGCCGGGACCCGAACAGTGGCTGCTTACCATTCCATGACAATCAGCAGGCACTTCCTCCCTGCGTACAGATTCTCGTACACATCCACGATCCGTACGATGTGCGGGCACTGGGAGGCCCGCCAGTGCAGCTCCACCTCCCTGCGGGCCTTGGGGCAGTCCTGAAGCATCTGCAGGCCAAACAGCTTCCTGAGTGACTGCGCTATCACATGGCCCTGCTCTAAGCCCCCGGCCCGCATGCCCTGACATTGCCACCGACACACCACAAACCCCCCACTCCTGCTGGCCCTTCCTACCAGCCCCCCTGGCACATTTCCTGAGGCCTCTGCATTTCCTTATCTGCTCTATATGAAATCTCACAATGACTCTTTTGGGGCCTTGACAGCTACACTGAGATCAGCCCTCGGGCCATTCAGTCCAGCTTAGGCCTGTCTCCAGCTTAGGCCATGAAGTCTACTCTAGAAGGCAAACAGCACTCAGGTACTGGGAAGCAGGGGGTGAAGGGGCTTCAGGAAGAAAGGCCGACTGAGAAAAACCAATACAGTATGGGAAAGGGGGCTAGAGAGAAGAGAGACTCCAGAGTCCAGAGGAAAAGGCACCTCCTCAATTACTCAGACCCAGCACAACAAATCCAGAGTAATGTTCTCTCTACCTCTGTGGCTGACTTCAACCAGGCAACAGATGGCCTTGGAAGTCAGCTAGATGCCGATTTGAATCCAGTTATTACTAGATTTCCAAGCCTGAGCAAGTTACTTAACTCACTGAACCTCGTTGATACCCCTTCTCCCTGGACAAGTTGGCTGGGGGTATTAAAGAAGGCTGGCTTCTCACCAGCCTCAGGGGTTCAATCTTGACTTGTCTAAGCCAGTCTCATTAATTCCAGTCCCTTTGCTAGTGACTGGCTTGGGAACGAGTCTACAACCCAACTGGCCAAGAACCTTGTAAGAAATCTGCTAAGAGGCTTCTTAAAGGGAGCACAAGAAACCTACATCTCTCTCCTGTATATGGCACCTGGGACTATGACAATCACATCATTACCAGTAAGGGGGGCCTAAGAGGATAAACCAATGCACCAAGGAAGGCAACCAGGAGAGATGGCAACTACCTGGATCCTTGCTGACATCACCAGGGATCCCTCAGGATTTATTTTTGACAAGATAATAAACTCTTCTTACTGTTTAAGCTGCTTTTCGTGAAATTTTTTATTGCCTGGAGCCAAAATCATCCTGATCTACCCTTCCTTTGTAAAGTGGGGATGGATAATGGCTTCTGTTTCACATATTTGTTGTGAGGATTAAGTGAAATATTTCCACAAAGCACCTCACAGAGTGTCTGACATATATGCTCACTAATAGCTGTCATTTTTATCACCAATTGTCTGCTAAGTGCAAGCACAGGTGCCAAAATAATTAAGACAACGACACTCACAGATTTAACATCTTCATGGGAAGTCAAGAAGAGCCCTATATGGTCTACACTCCAACTGCTTTGGACATTCAGAGGGCTGGGGTGTCCAAGAGACAGGCTGGGAAGGAAATGGACAGGCAGAGGGAAGGCATGCAGGCAGAGGGGGAATGTGGCAAGCAGGTGCTGACTGACTGAGATGGAGTGGAGCTGGGGTGATACAGCAGGGAGGCCTAAGAACCTGCTAGAAAGTGTCTGAAGCTTACAAATAAGATCAGATGGCCACGATGGAGCCAGCTTGCAGGGGGCAGGGAAGGGCAAATGAGCATTTCCAACAAGAAAGCTGGCATACATTCATGCTATGGCCCATGGTATGCTGGGTTTTTCCTAACTGTACATTTGCCATTTTACAGGATGAGGAAGCTGAGGCTCAGGGAAGTAGCATGCCCAAGGCTAAGTTTCTGAGAAAAGGCAGAGCCAAGGTTGGAATCCAGGCCTGGTAGATTCCAAAGACCAAGGCTTTCCACCACACCACCCAGTTTTTAGAGGAGGCTGGAAGCCAAGATTTCTCTGACTGACTTTGCAGAGGCAATTCCCCAAACAGGTGTCCAGAAGGAATCAACGGCTAGATACCATGGAGTAACAGGTGGCTGGAGCCAATAGTTGCAGGAGGCAAGGTTCCCATGAGGTCGCACTGCCACCTTGTGGCCATATGAGGACACGGCATGGGTCTTCAGTTCTGCCACCTTCAACTTCCTTCGAGATTTTTTGTTGTTGGTTTGTTTTGGGGACCGGGTCTTGCTCTGTTGCCCAGGCTGGAGTGCAATGACACAATCTTGGCTCACTGCAACCTCCACCTCCCAGGTTCAAATGATACTCCCACCTCAGCCTCCTGAGTAGCTGGGATTACAGGTGTGAGCCACCAGGTCTGGCTAATTTTTTGATGTTTTTAGTAGAGACGGGGTTTCGCCATGTTGGCCAGGCTGATCTCGAACTCCTGGTCTCAAGTGATAACCTACCTTGGCCTCCCAAAGTGCTGGGATTACAGGTGTGAGCCACTACACCCAGCCTTCGACTTCATTCATTTGGATGTACCAGGAAAAAAGTTTACTTTCCCATGCTCTAAGGGGAGCAAGAGAAGGCAATGGCCAGTTTCCTTTGTATATAATTCAATCCAACAAGCATTTACTGAGCTCCTACTATGGGCCATGCATTGCACTGAATGTCAAAACCAAATAGAACAGTCCTGATCTGGAAAAGCCTAGGCTAGTGGGGGCAGAAGAAGATATGAGGGGAGACACAGAAAATCCTTAAAATCCAGTGAGATTATATGCTGTAAGAGTGCTAAATTCAAAGGGTTCAGGAGGAACAAGGTTTCCAGAGCAGCCACGCAGAAAGAACCTCGATCGCCCCCTACAGGCACATAAGAACTGGAGCCCAGAGGAGAATTAAAGTTGTCAGATTTACTCAGAAGCAATGCATGGTTGTAGAGCTACAATCAGGGAAGACTTGGCCCAGTCTGAAATTTGTCAGTTTCTTCTTGCACAGCTTCACAGAGAGGTCTGCCTTCAGAGCCTGTGCCACATGCATTTAGGAGCGATGATACCTGCCTAGCCTCCCCTTCACAGAAACATTATGAGCATCTAATGAAATAATACCTCTAAAAGTGCTTTATTGTCAGAAAGGCATTCATCACTGTTAACCAGTACCATTAATGCCACAGAACGGGGGGTCCCTCCGTCACCAGTGAGTAGAGCCTGGAGCATGTAGATGTAACCAGTACAAGTTACTAGTAGGCTGGGTTTCTGTCTTCAGTGCAGTGACCACCACCAGGACATCCGCCAACCAGAGCTGTGCTAAGTGAGGATGCACCAAGGTCCAAATCCAAATGCATGCTCCTTGGCACCCCCTGAACTGCAAGCGCCCACTGCAACCTCCACACTTTCTGCCCTAGACACGTTAAGAGTGCATGGTACAAGGCAAAGGAGAGTTTGCGCAAGAAGGGCTGGGTTCACATCGCACTTCCAGACTTGCACAAACTCTCTACCCATTAGAGGAGGCGGGTGTAGCACAGTGAACCTGGGTTTTGCAATTACGGGCATTTTGAATCCCAGTTCTGCACTTCCTAGCTTGTGTCAGGCAAGCCCACCTATCTTTCTGAAAAGGGTTTCCTCATCGGTAAAATTAGATTCAACTTCGTGAAATAATATCCTTGAAGGTGCTTCAGAAACTCTATACAGGGTAGTTTTCACTTTTGAAAAATTTACCCTTTTGCATGTTTATGCCTTATCTGCCCAACCTAACTGAGTTTCTAATGGGCAAGATCTAATCTGATTTCTGTTTACTCCCTCCCCTCTTCCTTCCCTCACCTAGTGGTTAGGAATTTCTGAGCCAATACCGCCTCATTCTGTTGCTTCTTCTCCCTACTAAACTCTCCCCCAGTGACTGAGTGAGGGTGAGCTGTCCTTTCTGTCCTGAATTGGAAAAGGTAGTATTTTTAATTTCTTTGAGAAACACAGCAAGAATTTCCCATGAAGACTGGTCATTGCACATCCTGCATTTGTATTCCAGAACTTAAATTAAATTTAAAAAAAAAAAAAAAAAAGGACTGGTCATTGACATTCATCCAGGCACATGTTTATCAGAAATCCCTGACTGGATAGGAAAATCAGCCCAAGCAATGAAAGACCTTCAAATGGGTGAGGCAGGCTGGCTGACGTCATGGGCGCACAGCCCTGAAGTGCCAAAGTGGCTTTGTGGACAAGTGTGGAGCGCAGAAAGCCTGGAGAGAGGAAACCAAGAATGTGCTAATCTGGAGTACAGGGCTAAGTAAAGAACAGCAGGGGAGGTGGCCTGCACTCCAAGCCAGAGAAGAGACAGGGAAGGAAAGCAGGACTCCTAGGGCACTGCCAGAGGCCACCAGCAGAGTGAGGCTGGGGGCCCACCCAGAAGCCAAGGCCCCCGCTCCTTGGGCATGGGCATGGCCATGAGCAGTGGAGGCCAACAGGCCCTGGACCACAGCTCTGAGGACTGGAGACTAGAAGAAGGAAGGGTCTTCCCACTGAAAGACCACAGATCGTTAGTCAAGGAATGCCTGGAGGAACTGTGAAATATTTTAAGACCAAACTAAGTCCCGGTCCAACATTGTGACTCACCTCAGCCCCACACAGTTTGTGCCTGAAATGCTCTTACATGTAGAAAAGGTTAATGATTGCGTGTGCTCAGCTGCAATGCAACAGGCAAGGCCCCCTGCCAACTGTGGCAGGGGCAGGGGGTCAAGCCACAGAGCCCATTGCCTGGGGAGGAAGCTCTAGGACAGTGGCAGTGAGGGAGCTGCGGGAGCTGCCTAAATACAGTCCTATGCCTCTCTGTCTCTGCCAGAACCTGAGGGGAAGAAGGACAGGACTCCTCCCCCTATTCAGGGTGTGCATGGTTCCCCTCATCTCCTCCTGCAAGTCTGCCATCGTGGAGCCACATGGAAAGACTCAGGAGTGGTCGGCATTAGAAGCCTGGCTGAGCCAGAGGACAGGAAAGCAGCCGGCACCCAGGGCCTGACGTGCCACTTGCCAGCAAGGTGGATATGAGGACAAGACTGGGAAGGAGGAGGCCCCAGGCTCTCAGTAGGACCCCCTTCACAAGCGCCACTGCTCACTAGCTATGTGAACTTGGGAAAGTTTCCAACCCTTTTGTGCCTTGGTTCCCTTATCCATTAATAGGACAGTAACAGCCCCTACTTCATGGGGTTGCTATATGAGATGAGTTAATA